TTAAAATTTTTCCCAGGTTTGTCCGAACACCCTGTATAGTATAACTTTTATAAGGGTTAAATACCTTTGTTATCGTTCGAGCCTCGAAACGTTCGATTTTGCGGGAGAATTCGAAAATGGCGAACGTAGGAAACCTACTGCCGCGGGTGTATGTAGTTATTGAAGAGATAGATGTAAAAATCACACGAAGTACGCGACTGTCTCTCTCACAGAATCAATGGTACTTCTGGAGTTTCTCAAGGCTTGCATTTGACGGGAAACCCGTCGCAGTCGAACAAAGAAGCTCTCGCCGCACGAAAATATCGTTTCGCGATGTTGGCTTCACGTGCGAAAAATTCCTGACCCACGCAACGACGACGTTACGCATATAATCTTCGTAAGTCGCCAATTAATTAAAATGATCATTTTTAAACAGGCTGATTCCAGCAACTGAGCTGTAGCTCGTGTCCCAAGCCAAAATAGAGAAACATTGGATGAGAATTTTGTACGACTTAACAACGTCTATTATTATAAAATAAAATTATTTTCTTTAACTAAAATATAAATATAAAATAATTACCGGTTTCAAAGATTTTAGCCAAAATTTACTTGCAATTATCAGTTCTTGTAATATCATAAAGTGTGGATATTTCAATGACCCTTTCTGCGTAAAATGGCCTGAAAAATTTATACGGAAGAATTAAAGTTACAGTTACGAAAGAACGCAATTATAAACGTAATGTGCAGTGACCTATTTGAGAAGAAAAGTCGTAGGATAATAGGGATCGTCGAACCATAGAAACTTTTCCTCTACGATTTTTCCTCAACTTCCTTTAATACGAAATTATAGCCTGGCTCGATCACTAGAATCATTCTGTAGACGAAGCGGTTGTTAGAACGTTTGAACTGGTTCCGATAATTCAAAAAAAAGAAGAAGAACGTTTAGAATAATAGTTCGTCGGTATCCAGCGGAGTATTCACTCGTGTAAAGAAGCCTGTTGGTGGTTATCGAACAGCCAGCCATCGACCCATTGATACGAATTGCTCCTGCGTCATGACATTGCAATAAATTAATACTTCCAATAGGAGGTTCCAATCTTTTCATCATGCAGCGCCGAATCCGTACAAGTACGCGCCGCGACGGTAATAATATTAGTATATTTCCCTCGTGACAAGGGGAACGAGCAAATCACAGTCGACGAACGCTAGTTTACGCGCGAATCGAGCTTAAAATCCGAGTCAGAGAATTTTGGTTGTTTTCGTGTCGGAGAAATAAATACGTTGCCCGTCTCGGTCGGTAAGAGACGCGTTGGAATGTTCGAGCTTAAAAATGGCGCTCGGTGCGAGAGTGGCGAGAGTCTGAAATACATTCATTCGCGGAGCGAGAACGATCGCGCGCAGAAGATTCGCCGAAGATGCACGAGGTCGATGACGTCACAGGCTTTTGCTCGGCCGGGATCAATCGGGAAGTCAAGTCGCGATAATTGCGACAATCGTCGGGATGCTCCCCAACGAGACGCTTAATTCCGCTCCCTCGTTCGCGTCCCCAGCTTTCTTTCTCCGCGCGACTCTCTTTCGCCTTTCGTTCAATTTACGGGGCCCCCTCGCGGCTCACTATTTACTCGGCTGGGAAGATTGGCGATCGGTAATTGGACGTTTGATCACGCGACGCCTAGTTCTATTCCCCGGAACGACTCGATCAAATAGACATGTTGTTATCAATTTTATTTACACGTTGTTTAATTAAATTGAATAAATTCTTTTCATCAGAAAGTATGAACCAGTCCAATGAAGCTCTGTACGCCAAATTTCGTGCCAATCGGTCAAATGAAAAAAAAAAGTATAATTTTGAGAAAAATGTGTCTTAAGGTTTTTTTTTATTATTTTTGTGAATTATAAAATGACGAAAGGTACACGGAATTTGGGTACAAAACATTGCACGTACAACTTGGAGAAAATGTAAAAGAATCGACTTTTTGAAAGGTCTACGGTAGAATACCTTCTAAGGTGCTCTGGAAAATCCAATGAGGGGGCTGGAGGTTCAAGTGACAAACCTCAATCTACCCCAACAATTATTAAAGTGTTTATTTCGCGGGTGTCGGGGGTGTAGCCACACGTAGGTCAAAGTTAATAACACTGGCTTCGCAAACGCGCGACGTCTTAGCCAGACTGAGGTCTAAAATAGACTGGGGGTCTTTCTTCTCACGTCCCCTGAATATATACAATTTCTTACCCTAATAGCAAAGGTAGAGAAAAAGAGACAGGACAGAAAGACGGAAAAACGAAACTGGAAAATACTCAGTATAGGAAAAGTTTAGCGAAAGCGAGTCATAAAAGTCAAGAGGCTCGCCGGGCCCGGATCAGGGTGGTCCGAGGCCCAGGCGAAACCTTGAGGGAAAACAGACGCCTCGCACGGCTCTGGTCGCCAAGTATTTAACAGGACGACCAGGGTCGCACGAGACCCTGGGAAAATGGAAAAATAGAAAGCTTAAAACTATCCTTACATTCCATTCCCATTCATACTCTGGCAAGGGCGTAGTGGCTATACAATGGCCGCTACACCAATAATCGTTTCTACGTAAAGAAGTTAGGTAATTATACAGTATAGGGTAAGTAGCTCTGATGACCTCCTCTCTGGCATATGGCGCAGTGAACATCCTTTCAATCAATCTTTACAATGTTATAGTCGTTGCTCGTTGCATATTAGAAAGGAATTAACAAAAAAAGTGTGGTTAATGTCGGACAGTCTTTTGTCTCTATGCCCATTCTGAATTTTTTTCTCGAAAATGCGCAGGATTTCGGGGGCACGTATATTCACCAAAAATTACTGTAACTGACCCCCCCAACTGAAAATAATTTTTCGAAAACAAATTAAAAATTTTTTTTTCCGTCCAAAAATTTCACACGTTCTCTAATTTTTTTCTAGAAACTGGGTAGGATTTCGGGGGTATGTGTATTCATAAAAAATGGTTGTATTTAACCCCAGAAGCTGGCAATAATTTTTTTAGAACGATTTGACAAATTTTTTTTTCGCCGAAAAATTTCAGCACCTACCTGATTTTTTTTCTCGAAAGTGCGTAAGATTTCGGGGGTATGTGTAATGACTAAAAATGATTGCAATTGACCCCTGTAACTAAATATAATTTTTTTAGTATGATTTTAAATATTTTAATTTCGTCTAAAAATTTCAGTACCTTCTCGAATTTTTTTCTCGAAAGTGGGTAGGATTTCGAGGATATGTCTAATGTTCAAAAATTATTGTAATTGACCCACGCAACCAAAAATAATTTTTTTAAAACGATTTCAAATATATTAATTTTGTCAAAAAATTTCACACTTTCTCGAATTTTTTTCTACAAAGTGGGTAGGATTTCGGGGATATGTCTGTTGACCAAAAATGATTGCAATTGCCCCTTGCAAATAAAAATAATTTTTCCAGAACGATTTGAAGTTTTTAATTTTGTCGAAAAATTTCACACCTTCTCGAATTTTTTTCTCGAAAGTGGATAAGATTTCGGGGGTATGTGTATACACCAAAAATGATTGCAATTGACCCCCGCAATCGAAAATAATTTTTCCAGAACGATTTGAAATTGTTGAATTTAATTGTTAATAACTTTTTAACGAAGCCTCCATCAACAAATTGGAATTCTTGATTTTCGTCTTATTTTGGCCTCTAGATTCCCCCATTAAAATTTTTCCCAGGATTACCGAACACTCTGTATAGATTGAAATATCGGACATGATCTAGGTTAGGTTATGTACGATTCCGCGGTGGCGGTGTTTTTATCTGGTCTAACCAAAATAATCCAGGTTCAAGTGGGTCAATTGTAATAATAAATATGCTATAATAATCTATTTTATTATTTCATACCTTGCGACTGAAAATAAGCATCGTATATTTCATTTATTAGAGAAGATAAGAAATATGCATTTGGGTTATATAAAATTTAATTCTGTCTGAGAATTATTACAAACATCTAAAAGGGGGTGGTTCGATTAATTTTACTCCGCCACTGGTTACGATATCGATTAATTTACACGCTGTAAAATGATTTCAATCGATCGACGCGTGAGAACGTTCGTCTCTCTGTCCACATCGTCGACGATGCGTTCGTTTTTCCTCCGGCGCGCCACACCGAGCGAGGAAAGAAGGAGTCGACGATTATCGAGGACACGATAATTGGCGAACAGTAGAGGCCCTGCCACGGTCCACAAAACGTTTAATTATCCACTCCGCGAGGCGACTGGTCGTTTCGTTTCTTCCGTGGGGAGCGTAAACTGTCACGAATCGATCATAATAGAATCTCCATCATACGACCTAACGAGACGCGACCATTCCGGCGAGAAAGTTCTCGAACAATGAAAACGTTTATGTACATTCATCGATTCCAGGACGTTCTTATCCCCGCATGATCTCATCGAGCAAACATACAAATATCAACCTGCGACCTTTTTTACCGACGTCCACGTTTTCCTTCATGCCATCTCCGACAATGGGGCTGGCAGGTAGATCGTCAATTGATCGCCGACGATAAACGCGCGCTAACAAGCGTGCCTTATGGGTCAACGCAAGACAAAATGGTTTCTACCAACACTTTATCTCCTCTTCGTAACCTCGTCAATCTTTACCTATTGTTAACCTATTGTTAACTCTTTACACTTGGAATGCCACTCATATTAATTCCGACGACTCCGTAGATAATTATACAATTTAATAAACAAATTAATATATAATTATATTATTCTAAAAAATTCTAATTTTCACATTTATCTGTTAACAATTTCCTTCCGCGCCTTCCTTCGATCATAAGCGTCCCTAACCTCTAATTGTTATGAAATATTAATTAGAATTAATAACCTTTAATTTGTTTATTAAACTATAAAATTTAATAAACAAATTAATATATAATTATATTATTCTAAAAAATTCTAATTTTCACATTTATTTGTTAAGAATTTCCTTCCGCGCCTTCCTTCGATCATAATCGTCCCTAATCTATAATTTTCCCGTGTTCAAGATGGAGAACCAAGGCTTCGAGGAGGAGCACCAATCGAAACCCGAGGTGGCCGCCTTCTCGCGACAATCGTCGCCTGCCCAGGAGCCTCAGACGCGTTCGTTTCAACCGTCCAGGTTCGATCTCCGTTCCCCGCTGTCGAACTCGGACGGCCACGTGTACGAGGACGTCTTGCCAGCCGTCGAGGAGGTACTCCCTAAAACCGCGTCGCGCCCGTCCACTCGAGATCCTCAGAGATCGGGCGCCGGCAGCGCTCAACGGTCCTTCGATGTCGTCGATCGGGAGGAGGAGACGCTGCCCGTCTTCCGTCGCAATCTCACGCTGCCGTTTCGCAATGGCGGCCTCGATCCGTCCACGGCCGGTTCTTCCGTCCGCGTGACGAATCGCGAGAGAAGCAACGTCTGTCGCGAAGACGCGGAAGTCGACGAGGACGTCTCGATCGGCGGTCGGGCTCAGTCGAGCGAATGCAGGCCGAACAGGAGACGCAGGAAGAAGGACTGCAAGCACTGCAGGAGCAAGGCTGCCGCCACGGCGAACGTGCGCGAGCAACACGAGGCCGACGACAGGGAACTGGAGGGAACAACGGTGCTGAGGAAGAACAGGGACAACGATCAGCAGCGAGTGGCCGATAGTCCGCGAACGATCCTCGACGAGCCTTGTGATTTCGGAACGCTCGGCTCGGGCCAGGGTGGAGGCGACTTCCCTCTGAAAGGGAACTGCGCGCCGATGGTCTACACGATCTCCGACAATGTCGGGGAAGGTGAAAACAAGGCGACGTTGATCGAATACGAACGGAGTCCTGGTCAAGCGATCGAGGCTAACAGCAAGGAGGACAAGGCGTTGATCTCAGCGGAGAAGAGCAGAGCTGGCATGAGGGTGAACTCGATCTACTCGCAGGATCGTTGGTACGCCAACAAGGAAGCACCGGAATTCTTCAACGACGCCAAGGAACACGGATCGTTTCAGGTGAGTTGCGATATCATTTTTTAGTGCTCTAAGAATTGCAAGGGGGTTTATATCGTGCCCCGTGCTTCTATTTCAAATAGAATTCGACCGTGTTGTGTTTTGCACGAAAAGTGATTTTTATATTAAAATCGTGACATCGATTTGTGACGATTTGTTATTACCGGAAAAAAGCAAAATGGCGGGAGGAAAGACTACTACTAGTTGTTCGGCCAACCGTGGGAAAAATTTTAATGAGAGATTCTAGAGGTCAAAATAGGACGAAAATCAAAAATACCAATTTGTTTATGGAGGCTTCGTTAAAAAGTTATTAACAATTAAATTCAACAATTCCAAATCGTCTTGGAAAAATTATTTTCGGTTGCGGGGGTCAATTACAATCAGTTTTGTTCATTAGACATACCCTCGAATTCCTACCCACTTTCGAGAAAAAAATTCGGATAGGTGATGAAATTTTTCGGCGATAAAAAAATTTTTCAAATCGTCTTAAAAAAATTATTTCCAGGTTCTAGGGTTCAATACAACCATTTTTGGTGAATACACATACCCCGAATTCCTACGCACTTTCGAGAAAAAAATTCCTTACTGAAAATCTAATTAGGTGCCTATTTTTTTCAACGAAAAAAAAAAATTTTAAATCGCTCTGGAAAAATTATTTTCCGTTGCAGGAGTCAATTACAATCAGTTATGGTCATTAGATATAACCTCGAAATCCTACCCAATTTCTAAAAAAAAATTCGAGAAGGTATGAAATTTTTCGACGGAAAAAAAAATTTCAAATCGTTCTGGAAAAATTATTTCCAGGTTCTGGGGTTAAATACAACCATTTTTGGTGAATACACATACCTCCAAATTCCTGCGCATTTTCGAGAAAAAAATTCAGTACTTGTGGAACTATAAACATTAATAACTTTTTAACGAAGCCTCCATCAACAAATTTTTATTCTTGATTTTCGTCTTATTTTGGCCTCCAGAATCCTCCATTAAAATTTTTCCCAGGTATGAGCGAATACCCTGTATATAAAAATGAATGGTCGGTCGAGCACTTGTGAGAGGCAAAGATCGAGCGTGTCCCTCTGTCGATCAGTTCAGAAGATGTCGCCACAGTTTCGAACCTATTCTAAGTTTTCTTTCGCAACGATATAGCACAAGAAAAAGTCATAAGGTATTCTCCTCATTTTTTAAAGCGGTCAACGGAATCGTAGACTGTTCCAACGTTTGTATTTTCATTCGTTTACGTTTGTCATTACGTCAATTAAAGTTTAAAGTAGTAATTACTCCCGGTTTTCGATATTTTGAGGACGAGTTCGCACAGTGAGTCAAGGTCCTACGCATTTACTAGTTATAAAGCATTATTTATCGATTGTGGTCTGTCAAACTACGCCAAGGTTAGTTCCTAATGAATATATTTTTTATACAGTTTGACCTCAAGAACAGGGATAATGAAGTGCAAAGAAAATAGACCGTTGGAACGCATTTAACGAGCTCGAGGAAAAGTCCGTGTTGTTACATAAACGATTAGCAGTAATCATATTCAATTACGGTATAATAAATTATCGAAAGCGAGGCGTACGGAAACTCTGCCTTTAAAAACTTTACGGCAGCATTTTCTATACTAGGGGGCGCTGTCGTTAGAAAGGGTGGCCTACAATCTAAAGGGGGGCGAGAAAGAGAATTTATAATGGAGAAAACTGTGAGCTATACCGTCCGAGTATGGTATCGAATGCTTCTTTTGAGACTGCAAAAAAGAAAACGAAAGAATTATGCTCCACCCTGGCTACGTCCTTGCATAAAACCAGAGATTTATCTCCAACATTTGTTACATTTAATGGCAATTCGGAGAAACTTTTCTTCGAAACTTTCGTTTCATTCGTTATCAGAACGTTTCGTACAGATTGCAAGGGAGAAAATGCATAGGGAAAACCACTGTTTTGCCAAACGAGAACAAGTTGAGAACACCGGCGCGCGCATGGTACGCAAAAATGCCACTGCGTGGCGTATTACGTACTTGTTTTCTCGCGATGAAGACTACGAGGAACATAGCATAAGTATAAACGCCGAGGGAAAGAAAGCATACTTACCTGGCGCAGAGGTTACCGTGATCATGAAGGCGGTTCCTCCAGGGCGAGGCTTTTCCATTGCACTTGAGGTTAGGCTGACCCTTGCGAATACCCCTAATGTGGATATCTCGGGCGTATAATTTTTGGTAGTCGGGACTGCGTTCGCGCTGTCCCGAATAAAGTACTTCTAATCAGAAATCTTAAAATTAAAAATAGAAAAATGTATTTCAGTATTTCAGTAAAGAAAATATCACGATCTCTTTCATTTGAAAGTGGGTGTAAATACATAGTGTAAATAAAAAAATTTTTCTTTTAATCACATTATTTTTGGTACATTGAAGTTGACAAATATTTATATTACTCAAAATTGTAAACGAAAGGACGAATCGCGTTGCAACCCTTAACCTAGATTCGAATGAAAACTGCACGTTACGTCGACGCGAAAGAATCACAAAGAGGACGAGAAAAAACTCAGTTATACTGTTTTCGTTGCGAGAAGCGATGAATAGTCGCAGGTGTTGGGGGTGGGGGGAGGGTCTGGTTCTCGTCTCGACGAGCGGTCTCGTCTTCTCGAATCTTCCTCCTTCCGTTCTATTTCTAAGATTATCGCGACCGTAGACGACAAATTTTCGGGTCGGCTAGTTCACAGAGTTCAGACCGCCGCGATTCCCTTTACCCAGGACGACATCAAAGAACGCGTACGCCGACAACGGGAATGGAAACCGAATGCCGTTCGTTCTGTCTTTTATTTTCCCGTCTTTGCATCGAAAACCGTCCCGTTTCACACTCGACGAAAATATACGTAATTGGTGCGATTCGTCGGAAGCGGTGGCGCATTAGCCTGAGGCTAAAAAGGCCAGGGATTTAAAAGGTTCCAAAAATAACCGTTATTAGTGAAATGCTCGTTGTTAGAAAACTGTGTATTTTCGTGTTACCGGTTTCGCGACCTAAATCTCGTATCGTTCATTTTTTAGTTTCGAATCACTTATCTTCGGCGTTATCTAGCAATAGGCGTCACCCCAGAGCCACCGCTTATTGGTTATGTGCACCAACGACGATCGAAGAAAAGTGTGATGAATGATTCCGGGCGGATTTGTACGTTAAATTTAGATCGTCGCGTCTAACCTGTCAACGCCGCCGGGTTCCAGTCTCCTCCGCTAGGCGGGATCCTTTTTGGCCGAGGGGGCCGCGCGTTCACGGCTTCTGGGCGTCTGGAGTTCTCTTAAAGGAACAAAACGGAACGGAAGTAGAAAACGTCTATCTATAGCCAGACACGTTGGCCGTCTACATGCACCGCGCCGCCACGTTCGAGCCTCTCGTAAGTGAACGCGTGCGAATTCCAACGGACGAAACTCACGGCGCGCGGGCGTTCGATCGACCGCGAATCGTTTCGAAGTATTTCACATATTTTTCGGTTCTTCGTTGAGGCGTCCGGTTTCTCGTATTATGGGACGTCCCATGACTATACGCTATCGTACACTCCAGAGGCTTGTGTTTGTCCTACCGCTTACCCATGAGGTTAAGTACGGTATAGTCAAGAGTCCAGTAATTATCATAGATGTAAAAAATTAGAAGTTCACGATTCTGAAATGAACAGTTCCCATGAAAATTAACTCTCGTCTAGCGTCTGTTAGGTTATCGTTCGCACAGTTGGAAATCTACTTGACCGGTTGACAATGCGTTAACGCTGAACAGTCATTTTGTTTTCTATGTTTCTCTTTTTCTATGCAAGAAGGGTCACACACGGAGTCGACGATCGAACGTCGATCGAGTCCAACGCGGTCAGGTAAATCTCCGTCGGGTGCAGTAGTCAGTCAGGCTCGGACCACTGCCACGGCAGTCACGACGGTTTCTTGCACGCGCGAGTCCAGAGCCGTGAATCTGACTAAACGCAAACAAAGTTGTATAAAATGTACGACAGAGTGATAAGATGTGTAATGACTTCTTATAGTCTTGATAGCGACACAGAAGATTTAGAATTTTTTGAAGAGTGATTTCCTTCCCCGAAACTGTCGATAAGAACGATAAAAATTGTGCACGCGTTGTCGACGATAGAAGAAACGATAGACACGTAATATTATATTATTTTCAATGTTTTTCTCTGGGGGAAATAACTAGATTACAAAATAGAAAGACAGAGTGAAACCTCTGACTTATAAATCTTCTTTTTTCCGTTACCATCACTGTTATCAATTATTTCTTCCCTTGAGTTTCATATTGTCAAGCAATACAGCTCCTGGCATTAATTTAACTAATTATTAAATAAATAAAAAATACGATACATATTTTACACCTGGGAAAAATTTTAATGGGAGATTCTAGAGGCCAAAATAAGACGAAAATCAAGAATACCAATTTGTTGATGGAGGCTTCATTAAAAAGTTATTAACGTTTAAAATTCCGCTAGTATTGAATTTTTTTTCTCGAAAATGCGCAGGATTTCGGGGGTATGTGTAATGACCATAAATGATTGAAATTGACCCCCGCAACCGAAAATAATTTTTCCAGAACGATTTGAAATTTTTTTTTTCTGTTGAAAAATTTCATACCTTCTCGAATTTTTTTCTAGAAAGTGGGTAGGATTTCGTGGGTATGTCTATTCACCAAAAATGATTGTAATTGACCCCCGCAACCGAAAATAATTTTTCCAGAACGATTTGAAATTTTTTTTTTCCGTTGAAAAATTTCACACATTCTCGAATTTTTTTCTACAAAGTGGTTAGGATTTCGGGGGTATGTTTGTTGACCAAAAATGATTGCAATTGCCCCCTGCAAATAAAAATAATTTTTCCAGAACCATTTGAAATTTTTCAATTTTGTCGAAAAATTTCACACCTTCTCGAATTTTTTTCTTGGAAATCAGTAGGATTTCGGGGGTATGTCTGTTGACCAAAAATGATTGCAACTGCCGCCTGCAACTAAAGATAATTTTTTTAGAACAATTTGAAATTTTTTAGTTTTGTCGAAAAATTTCACACCTTCTCGAATTTTTTTCTTGGAAATGAGTAGGATTTCGGGGGTATGTCTGTTGACCAAAAATGATTGCAACTGCCGCGCCTGCAACTAAAGATAATTTTTTTAGAACAATTTGAAATTTTTTAGTTTTGTCGAAAAATTTCACACCTTCTCGAATTTTTTTCTCGAAATTGGATAGGATTTCGAGGGTATGTGTATTCACTAAAAATGTTTGTAATTGACCCCCGCAACTGAAAATAATTTTTCCAAGAAGATTTGAAATTTTTGATCTTAATTGTTAATAACTTTTTAACGAAGCCTCCATGAACAAATTGGTATTCTTGATTTTCGTCTTATTTTGGCCTCTAAAATCTCCCATTAAAATTTTTCCCAGGGTTGTCCGAACACCCTGTATTCGATCGGTATCAACTTTTTTATTTTGTTTGAGAATTTTCGAGTAACAAAAGAATAAAATTCTTGGTGGTAGGAAATTTACGTTCGTCGTTGATCTTCGCTATTGTTCCATGGCGTGGAGCCCACATTTCTCGAGAAAGATCGCCGCAAGTAATTTACCGACTGTTCGAGGAAAGTTACTCGAGTGCGCGGTCGAAGTTGAGCTACGCGTTCCGTGAAAATGCAAACTACCAGCGGCTTTAGTAAAATTTACAATCACTCGTACGTCTCGTTGGCGAACAGTTGGCGCCTGGCAAACATTACCGCGCCTCTGTTTGACCACGGGAAACCGATTCTCGAATACTATTAAACGGATAAGCAATTATCGAAGAATCGACGCCGAGAAACGTCAGGTCGAAGAGAATGCGGTACCGATGGCTGAACTTCAGGTACAGTTATGGCAAATAGCGCGGACAATCGTTTGTTTTCACACGTTTATAATATTCGTATACAGGCTGTCTCTTAAAAAGTGTCAAACCATAACAATAGAGACCATAAACGATTGAAACTGCATAACAAAATATGCTTATATTATTTACAAGTAACGCAAGCAGAATGTGTTCTTTTGATATAAAATAATTTTTCCAGAACGATTTGAAATTGTTGAATTTAATTGTTAATAACTTTTTAACGAAGCCTCCATCAACAAATTGATATTCTCAATTTTCATCTTATTTTGGCCTCTAGAATCTCCCATTAAAATTTTTCCCACCCCGTATAACAAAATAAAACTTTCGATTAACAGTAAATTATTTAATGTATTCGCGGTTCATCTTTTCTTTTCTTGCGCCATAAAGACGCCATAACGATAATAGTATGTATTTTCCAGAGGGCCTATTCCCTCCCAGTGCGAACTCCGTCCTCCCAAAATCGGGTCAATTTACGACGAAGCGTCAGAGGGGAACCACCTCCGCATCCGGCCAGACTGCGTAAACACCGCCACGGTTGGACACTGCATTTCACGCGGCCTCTCGAGGCTTCCGGATGCACCAGGTCTGTCGTCATTCTGCTGATTGTCATTTTGGCGCTTTTGGGGATAGGAGGTGTCGCCCTCTACATTGTATTCGGTGAGTGCATCGGTTCTCTTCGAGCAAGAGAGACTGTCCGCGACGACCCAAGCACCGGGAGCTTACTAAATTTCCCCTACTCTGTCCGTATCCGCTCGAGACAAGACCGTCGACAGTGACACGCGACCACCTCGAGATCTCGTTAGTCTTTTTCCCTCTCTTACGCCTAACGAGACAGTGGTAGGGGGATAGAACGACGCGAGGGGCCCCTCTCGCGGACAGAGACTTGGATTAAACCAACCCACAATGGGCCAGAATATTTTCAAACGCAATATTTTTCTATAAAATTGTCCGAGTTGTCTAATATTTTAGAGGTTAAGGGTTTGGGAAACGAATTTTGTTTAAGTAGTAAAATTGGATTTTGGTGAAACGAAGTCGCTTTTCACGTTATTTTCCCTGTCGCGTTGCTGACACGCGCGCACAGACGCGAGCATTGGCCACGGTGCGCGAGTTACGTTCGCTCCTCGAGCAATTAAGCGTGCACGAACGCGCCACGGCGCTGTCCAGTCGGCGAACGGGAACGACCCGCCGAGGTTTAATTCGTCGAAGCGAAGTAATTGCAGCAACGAGATGAATTTAACCGCTGGGTCAACAGTACGCTTTCTTCGGGCGGACTCGTGCTCGATGGACCGATCGAGTTAAGGCATAGTAGGCCAAGAAGCACGATTAGTACGCGTATGACGAGAAATGGCAAGAGGCGTTGACCGTTTGTTTCACGAGCAACGGGGTTATTTCTAGCAAGCATCGATGCGCGAAACTCGGACGTTATTTGACAAAGATGTTGTAACAGGCAAGGGAAAACAAACAAACTCACGATTCGCGAACGATGTTTATTAATTTAACGGTTGTAAACTTTGGGGTCTCGATGTAGCTGGTACGACTCAAAATTAAACAAACGTTCAACTGGAATTGATTTCGGAACTTGGAACGGGGCTTCAACGCTGCTTTCTATGTACTGGATGTTATAAACCTAAGAACTTATCAAAAGCTACCATCTTAGCCACTTGCACCACTTAAACAGCGATTAAAATACAACGTTTCTAGATTTACGTTTATGTGCCCCTATAAACACACATAATAAGCGTGTTTGCACTAATTTTGTAAAACTCAAAATCAACGATAACACAAGAGACAGTAGTTCAGAGTTAATTTTCTAAGGATATACACGTTTGAAAGTCTTATATGGATTCTTTTGGTTCTCAATGCGGTACTCTTCGTATCGTTTTTATTCCAGAGCCCGAAAAGCTGCAGATGATCCAACAGTACCTGAAGTCGTCGGCGAGCAACTCGTTGCAAAACAATACTCTACCCGCGGGAATGTTTCTTCAGAATGCCAATGGTCGCGCCAAAAATGACACTTCGACAGCATGGACGTCGGTGACATCAACGACACCTATCAGCAACACCCTAGACACGAGCGTCTTTTTGAGCGGCGACCAGTCGTTTTCGGAGAGCGGTACACCGCCGACCTCTGAAACGGAGACGGAAACGGAAACGACTAGTCCACCCAATGTTAACTCCACCAGATATTGCGACGATTGTTTACACGGCGAAGTCTGCGTGGCTCTCGTGGACGAAGAGGTGCCCATCTGCAGGATAGGTCTTGATCTCGAAGATCCGACCGGATGCGCTGGCTTCTGCGTCGTCGACAAGCAGAGGTGTCATCGTCTCGACATCGATGCATTTAGGTTAGCAGAAGTTTGCAAATATTTTAAGAAAATGGAACGAATAATATAATAAATAAAACCGTCCTTTTCATTTCTGATTTTGTATAACCTCGAACGTCATTGCATCGCATTTGAAACTGCACGAATATCCCGCTTTTTAAGGTTAACTTTGCGTGTGCACGCGAAAACAGGCTATCCAAAATCGTCACTCGTCGTTCGATTGATTTAATCGTTCTTTTTTTGGTTGAAGGTGCGTGGAGATCGAGCATTACTGTCTGGACGACGAGTGGACATGCTCGAACACGTTATGCATCCCTCTGACCAAACATTGCGACGGGCATATGAATTGTTACGACCATTCGGACGAGTACAATTGCGGTATGTGTTATATCCCATTAGCCCAGTTTTGTGCGACCCGTAACTTTCTATTATCGGCTTTGACGCGAGGGCTTCAGTTTACCGGTTTTTGCTATAATAATAAGAGTTAAGACATTGCACCTATCACGTGTCGTATTCGATACTTTCCATAGAACGTTTCCACTTGCACGAGGTTGTAATCCGTTAAGTTTTCTCGCATCAATTTTCAAACATTTCAAAATAAATATTTCGAACGAAAGCAACGAACGTAATTTTATTTTCGATATGAACAATTTCCCATTAATATCAGATTTGTATCGATCGAGCCTGAATTATTCGAATCGAATTGTCATTGTCAGTCTTGTCAGTTCGGTTCGAAATGAGAGTTCGTTCGACTGTTCCCGAGTTCCGACAGCTTGCGTGCGCGCGGACCCTCTCGTTCACATAACCTCTTTTTTTCTCGTTCCGGCCAGCACCCTAACCTCTCGTAGTTTTTGCCCGCTCGAAAGCGTGGTTCGTCTTACGTCCGTGGACAATGCGCCCAGGGACTGCACCGGGAATTATGGGGAACACCGAATGCATGAGAAGCGGCACGAAGATTCCAAGCGATAACGGAGTTTGCACGTTTGTTCGCAGTCTGCGATCTGGAGACGCATTTCCAGTGCGGTAACGAGACTTCCTGCCTGCCATTGGAAAAGAGATGCGACGCCAAGATAGATTGCTGGGACGCCGCCGACGAGATTAATTGCACGCTAGGTAAGACAGAGGCCTCTCGCAACGGTTTACGATCGCGAGAAGCGCACGCTGCTGGTTCGCGAATTATCGACTGGTAAAACGTAATCAGAAACGTATCGTTTTTTCCCACACGCGAACGGATAACCGTGGGTAATCGCGGAACGATTTTTCTCTACGCGAGATCGTTACGGGTGGTTCGTCGACCGGTAGAGTTATTCGCGTACCTTCAGCTGCCACGGGTACACTCCCTTTCTTTATCTCTCTGTCCCCCCCTTCCATGTGGGTGATGGTCTTTTTCCAACGTCTTTATTTTGTTTTTCTTTTCTTCTTCGTAGGTCGTAATCTCGGTCGGTGTGAGTACACATATTCGTTCAGTTTGAAACGCATTCAATTATCGCATGTCGTGCACGCTTACTCTCAATCATCGCGATATACGCTATGGCCGCTTGCTTGCTCACCGTCACGCTCCAAACACTTTCTTCCAGGAGTCGAAACAGTTGTAAGAACTTTTTAGAAAACGAGTTCTCACGTAATTTTCACTTTTCGATTGAAGCTGAACTTTGATTGATCAGCAACGATGTTTAGACGAGAGATCGAATATAATTATTCCGCGTTTGCAAACAAACATAAAGTACGAGTTACGCGCTGGAAAGTGTGAGAAATAGCTGAAACGTGCATGGACCTGTTGGAAGGAAATGTTAAAAATGTTTCGCAAGATCAGACCGTTTTTTGTTTTTTTTTTTTATTTCTTGAGAGAAAGTACAAGTTCGTATATAATTTAAAAGGAATAAAAAGTCAACCGACTTTTTCGATCCCTGCTTTCCCCGCCTATCCATGCGTGCACGCACAACGATCTCTTTGACTCGCATCTATGTACGCGCGCACAATGCCGCTTTTGATTTTGCTTGACCAATCGAGCAATTATAAAACTCGAACCGCCGTCCCGCTGGACCAATCGCTGCACGCCCTCTAACGTCGAGAGTGCACGCGCTTGCTGGTTGTCGCTTTGATCGATCGCGTGCGCTATTACTCACGACAGCGAATGTTTTGTGTTTGACACCAGCGTGTCCGTCGGAAAATGAGTTCACGTGCAGCAATGGCCAGTGCATATCGAAGGCACGATTCTGCGACGGCTTGCCGGACTGTGACGACAGATCCGACGAGCCACATGGATGCCAAGGACGGTGCAACAAGCACGAATTCACATGCCAGTAAGTTTTCACGATATCGAGACAACGGGCGCCGATCGAAGATGGGATCAAGCGCGTGTCCTGCTTACATTCTTTTTCACGGGTCTACCCACTCGATTTTAGCGACTCGTTAACTTACAAATTATACAGGGTGTTTGACCACCGCTGGGAAACATTTTAATGGAAGATTTTAGAGGCCAAAATAAGACGAAAATCAAAAATATCAATTTGTTGATGGTGGTTTCGTTAAGAAGTTATTAACGCTTAAAGTTCCGTTCGTAATGAATTTTTTTCTAGAAAGTGGGTAGGATTTCGGGGTTATGTGTATTCACCAAAAATGATTGTAATCGATCCTCACAAGCGAGAATAATTTTTCCAAAACGATTTGAAATTTTTCTTTTTCGCCGAAAACTTTGTCCACCTTTCTGAATTTTTTACTCGAAAATGCGTAGGAATTCAGGGGTATGTCTATTCACCAAAAATGATTGCAATCGACCCCCGCAACCGAAAATAATTTTTCCAAAACGATTTGAAACATTTTTTTCCCCCCGAAAAATTTGTCCACCTTTCTGAATTTTTTTCTCGAAAATGCGTAGAGTTTCGGGAGTATGTGTAATGACCAAAAATGATTGTAATCGACCTCCGCAACCGAAAATAATTTTTCCAAAACGATTTGATATTTTTCTTTTTCGCCGAAAAATTTGTCCATCTTTCTGAATTTTTATCTCGAAAACGCGTAGAATTTCGGGGGTATGTGTATTCACCAAAAATAGTTATATTTGACCCCAGAACCTAGAAATAATTTTTTTAGAACGATTTGAATACTTTTTTCCCCAAAAAAATTTCAGCTCCTACCCGAATTTTTTTCTCGAAAATGCGTAGGATTTCGTAGGTATGTGTATTGACCAAAAATGATTGTAATTGACCCCCGCAACCGAAAATAATTTTTCCCGAACGATTTGAAATTTTTTAATTTAATTTTTTAATAACTTTTTGACGAAGCCTCAATTAACAAATTGGTATTCTCGATTTTCGTCTTAGTTTGGCCTCTAGAATCGCTCATGTGAATTTTTGATCGATAAGAAATAATAAGTATCGTCTACATATCGAACTTGATCCCACCGCTAGAGGCAGCACTGTCCCATAAAAATATTTTGGAGGGAATGCCCGTCATGTAATTCAGATTTAGCGATAACTACAACCTACTGTCTATTACAGTACGACAGAATCACAAAATTAATGAACAATCACTAATTTTAATATACTCAGTTATATTCTGTATGTTGTCGATACAAAAATTGTATAATTTTGGTCTCTGCCTTATAACTAGCGTGTAGATGATTTTCTCGATATTACAACTTGCCTGCAGAGGCAACAGTTACTTCTCGTAAGAAGTTTGCCAATCCCCGACATAAACCAATGACTAACAATTATATTACTATTTCTCTCGCGTTGTAAATATTGTTCGACGTTCTTTAACCTCCCAGCAGGATATTTTTATCACGCAAGTATGTTTCTTTTTCTTTTTTTTTTTTACATAGAAATAGTAGGTGCATCGCGAAGGGGATGAAGTGCAACGGGATCGACGACTGCGGCGACGGGACCGACGAGAGGCACTGCAAAAATCGATTTTTTTAACTTTATTCTCGCGTCGATGTGAAGTCGATGTCGTTCACGCGACACGACGCGTATACAGTATTTTTATTACAGAGAGGACGAATGTAATTAATGTATATATATATAATTATGTATATGTAACTGTGCTGTATAGATATGCAATGGTGCGTAAATAAATCGTTTACAAGCGTTATATACTTAATCGCAGGATATATAATCAGGAAACGATATATGTATATAGTTTATTGATCCGTGTATAATAATTTCGATTACAAACATCGATATTTACTACAACGCGGGTCTCTTTGAACAGAACATATTTTCAAATACTACAAAGAAGATATATATGTATGTATATATATATATATATATATATGTATATCTAGCTGGTGAACGTATATGCTGATACGTGTTAATCGGGTATCATAAAACGAGAGATCTATTCGATGCGCAATTTTTCTACTTGCGCATCGCGTTTGTACACATCTAAAAAAAAACTATGTATACTTAACTATGTATTTTTTTTTTTTTTTTTTTGTATACATTCGTATAAAGTCTTCGTGGGTATACGTGACATCGTGTCCTTGAGGGAAACTCCACTTAAATCATTTTGTCTAAATGGAAGGTTATCGGTGCGACAAATATGTACAGACATATGTAGTTACGTTGGTTTGAAACGTTACTTTCGCCATGACACGACAACGGTTGTTCCGTTTACCCGAAATAAGTGCGTTCCCTGGATCCTCGTTACTTTTCTTTGCCACGCGTGCGAAGAGACTTATAGGAATTCGTCCGGCTCTCTCGGTGCGTCGAGATCGCGATAATGTATGACTGGCCGGAAGTCTCCTCCACCGCCACTGTAAACGTTGAATAACAATTAAAAACGTTTTATTGTCTTATTTTATCGCTGGTATTGCCGAATAACCGTGGCAAGATCGGGAATCGTGGCACGGGCCCTAAATACGAACAACCATAACGCGCGACGTACGACCAACTGGACATAGGAATACGAACGGATACATGGGATGTAAAATAAAGGCACATTACATGAGTAGTAACAAATATGTTTATTTGTTATTCCTTTTTGTCATACGATTACAGCATCTGCCGATTCTCCGTATCGATTTTTAAATGGGAAACAGGACATGAAATGTCCTTTCCGCTAAAATACACGTTATGTATTAATATAATTTTCTGTTTCTTTTTTTTTTTATATATATACACAAGTCGTAAATTCTAACCCTCGTAAAACAGGAGAAAAATGTACTAATTCCGTAATATATCCATTCGTTTCTTTATTATTTATTTATTTTTTTTTTTAATTATTGTTTATAGCAAATTTTATATCACGTTAGGCAATCGGCAATTTGCTCTCGTTCGTTCTACTCTGTGCATGTGTGTGTTGCGTAATCCAGACAGATAAATTCGCTATTATGGGAAGTCCGATACCGTTTAGGATTTCTTTCATTGCCATTAGACCCGTACAAAATAGACTCGAATAGAGTCAACGTTCTGGATTAAACTTAGAACATGTCCATGTCTAGCTGGTCCAAGTCATTATAACTAACAAGAGGCCTCGAGGTTGAGTCCGGAGCAGCCCTGTAAAACAGCGGTATCACACCACGTGTTCAATACGTCGAAATTAAAGGAAACTTCTGAAGCGTGACTATGGGCGATTCAAAGTTGATCGTTCATGTTCTGTTTTTTTTTTTTTTTTTAACTAGGCATCCAGAGGACACGATTTGCTCAGTGTTGTTGGCTACCTCGAAGGAGACGGTAAAGAACTGCACGAGATACCAAGAAAAAGATTCTCTTACCGTCCTCTATTGAAACCACCACGACTGGGACGCGGCATCCCAAATCCTCCGCCGAATCCTGCGCCATAGCTGGACCCGTATCCTCCTCTGTTACCGCCATAACCGCTTCCGCCATAACTCCCGAACCTACGTGAGTCAAACAATTATATAACCAATATGCTCGTAACAGAAGATAACAACGAAGAACAACACAATTACACAAGTATTTATATCCTTCTACAATCATGTTTCTTTAAAACAATGTTATTTTTCCACGAATGAACCCTCTGCCTCGAAAATCTTATTACACTTGGCTACTTGTAGACTCGACACTTACGTGGTGCAACCGTAAGGGTTGAATCCTTCGCGTACGCCTTCTCTCGGCGGTGCTTTGTTCCCAGGATGTTCAGGAAGTTGTGGCCTCTTCGGGTCCTTCAGATAATTGTTGAAATACTCCGCCTCCGCCTTCACCTCGGCCACTTTCTCCCCGTGTTTGTTGAAGATATGTTTCCGTATGAAATCCGGTCCTTTGAACTTCTTCCCGCTGAGCGGGCACAACCATTTGTCCTTGGACAGCTCCTGAGTGTTGGCTTGGACGAACTTCTCCACCTCACTGATGATTCGAGGGTCAAGGAAATTAATGGTAGCAAAAATAAGAAAGCAAACAGTACTTGCAAAAAGGATACGCTTCAGCATTTTTAGCACCGAGTTTATCGAACTCTTCTTGCGATAGGGTAGCCACTGGCTGCAGGAACGCGGACATTTTGCTCTCGAAATTACGACAGTACTCCGATAACTCGGTACTGGACACCTTGGCGGTCGGTGGCGATCCCCTGACGTGCATTATGCCGCATCTGTTGGGCATCTCGTCCTCGTTTGGGTACTCGCAATGGTTGTAATAATCGACTGAGTGGACTATACGCAGGTACAAAATCAATCTGTCCAAAACCTGTGTAATTGTTTCGTTTATTAGCGCGATGATCTTCTAAACAAACAGTGGTAAAAAGGGTTGATTAACTGGAATTGTACCGTGACGAGAGTCGGGTCTCTTTCGATCGGGCCATCCCCGTCGCCTCCAAGTTGACCTTCCTCCTGGTCACCAGACATCCCTAACAATTCCTCTTCCTCTGCCGATGCCTCTTCTATCAGATAGTCGGTTATGTTCTTCAATACTGGATTCTTCGACGACAATCCAAACGCCTGTAAAAACGTACGGTGTCAAAGCTCGGGATCATATTCGTGAATCTCAATCGTTGTCTTCTCACCGCTTGCTCGACGTCGCGGGCATTTTGCGCGCTTCTGTTCTCCTTGTTGTCGTCTTCCTGCTTCGACGCGTGATCGTCCTTCTTCTCCTCGTTCCACAGACCGACCCTGTTGTCCAAGTTGTGCACGATCTTCGCGCTCAGCTTGATGTCGTGTCGCACTATCTGCTTGTGAGACGTCAAACCGTTCACCGTGCGTATGCGACGCGACAGATCTCGGTTCACTATAGCACCCAGTTCACAATCGCGCAGCTGCAAGAATCGTTTAAATGAACCATCGACTTTTCGCTAACGCGTGACTCGAACAGTAATTTCGACTTACGCGAATATTATTCAAGCTCCAACATATCTCTTTTATGTTCACTTGTCTCTCGAACGACACCCATCCCCTTCTGAACCATCTCCTTTCCGGCTGAGGATCCGCTATGGCAACTCGTAAAAATCCAGGGAAGCGCTTGCACATCTAGTTCACACAACTTGTTTATACGTTTGCACGAGCAAAGAGAAAGTATTATCGTTATAATCAAGTTCTATTGCATATTTATTTTAGTGTGACTGGTAACCAACCGCTTCGACTTCCGCCTTCGTGATCGTGGGCGCCAAATTACGAAGGAAGATGCTGCTGGTCTTGTGCAAGGCTCTAGGTTCTTTCTCCTTATCTTCGCTGGCCAGATCGATCACAGCTTCCGGCTCGATCGTAGATTTCTTAGATTCCGGGAGTTCACCGTCGGTTTTAACCGCCTCCCGATCCTCCTCTTTGTTATCCTGCGCCTCTGCGTTCTCGTTGCTGGTGTCTGCCTTCTCAGCAACAGCTGCAAGAGCAAAATGTTACAATTTTCATAAAATTGTATTAAAATGACTTACTAAAGACTTACTAGCTTCCTCTTTTGGCGTGTCAGCTTTGTTACTGTCGCTACCAGACGAGCTACTGCTACTGCTGCTGCTGCTGCTGCTACTGTTGCTCTCTGTACGCTTCCTCTTTTTAGTAGTGTTAACTTCCTCCGTTTTACCTGCTACACCGCGATTAAACTCATAAACGCTAGAACAATCAGAACTGTTTTACAATCAATAGATAAAATGAAAATACCTATCTCATCTACGTCGTCGTCCTTCTTCGCGTCTTCTGTACCAGCTTCCGGTTTCTCAGCCTTCTCCGTCGAGTTCTCGTCCTTTTCCACGTTCTTCGTTTCGCCATCCGCGCCCTGTCCATTTTTTAACGTTTTCTCTGTACGCGAGGCCTCGTCCGTTTTATTCGCGTCGCTACAAGGTTCACAGTAATAATCGACTCTGTTAAAAATTCACGTACGCGGATAAGTCAGATTGCTAGATAGAATAATCGACAGTGAAGTAACTGTAATTGATATTAAATATTAATTAGAACATGGATGGTTTCGAGTTAGAATTGGATGTGCACCACACCTGTTCTCAACCTTCTTTTCAGCCCCGACTTTACTCTTCGCGTCCTCTTTGTCCCTGATCGTGTCCTTGGATAAAATTGGATTCGTTGACTTCACGTCCAACACTTGTAAATCTTCCTCGGTACCGCCCTCTAATTTAATAACCACCGCGTCTAGCAAGTGCAACAATGCGTCAGCCTGGTCAGCGTCTACCGAAACTTTGTCGATTTCCTCAATGTCGAGCATTTCCAAGAAAACTTCGACGCGTTTCTGTGAAAAGAAAAACACGCTGATAAAATTGATACGAATCGGGCTAAAATATTACATAAACGAATGACTCGTACCTTAAGGGCTGACACCTGTTCCTCCTTTCTCTTCACCGACTCTTCCGGATGGTATTTTATTTTAAACCTGACGATCGACAGAAAATTTGGTATTAACAGCGGGCAGAGAACGAGTATCTCGTCGGTAGAAAAGCAAACAGACGTACAATTTGTGGATTTATCGTTCATTACGTTTGGAAAAATCGTCATTGGATAGAAAATAATCGTTAATTCTAATAACTTCTGTAATATAATATACTGAGATTGCATATGTATATATACACACACGTATATGTATTTGTACAAGCACAATGCGTGCTTCTCAATTGAAACCTCTCGAGGTCTTGAATGATCTCGAGTTCAGAAATATTGATCAATAGATCTCTAGCGATTGTCGTTGGATAAAATGTAAAAGTAAAACGGTTACGTTTCCCATCCGTATTTAGAGCGAATCATTCCTCGTGATTAAGCGTTAAACGTGTATCCTCTTTTCTCGAGACGATTATTTACAAGTTATCATTTTTACTGTCAACATTATCAGTTACAGAATGAGGCCTCACCTGTAGGTCTGATATTTTTACTCGCATTCGGTTTTCTCGTCGACTCGGAAGTCTATTGCAACGATAGCGTGTTATCTTTCGATAATCGATAGTAATTAAACGGGTTTAGAACGCGGCCTACAGCGAGCAGGTTTTGGGCTTTGCGCGCCCAGCTCGCATTTCTGTTTCAACTACCTAATAGAGCACCTCGTATCTTCTGCGATGCGCGAGACGCGGTATGCATAAAATATCGTACGAAAAAATAAACGTGCGAGGTGACCTGTGCCCAAGACATAAGGCGTTGCTGGCTGTACGCTGTAGGGATAGACAGAGCTGGTCATATTGGCTTGAAATTACCGATAAAATCGTGTCTGCAATTTAGCAAAAATTATAAAGCCACTACACCCTAACATCCTTCTGTCCAATGTACATACGCACTTCGTACATACATACCTGGACAGAATTTTAGAATTCTGTTGGGATTCGAAGATTATTTTCTACAGTGGTTACGCACAACAAGCACGATACACGGTTCTTATACACGTACAGATGAAAAAGTTTAGTTACAAATTTAGTGTTTTAGTGGACAAATATGTATATTAAACCACTGTAGAAATTAATGTTTCTCAGATCCACATTTAAGTACGGCTGAAGCTTTATGTTAGGAATCAATTTTCATAAATAGCAAAACGAAATATACCATTCCTCGTCCTTGTGAGCTACGAAGAATTCGTTCAACTGTTGCCTCCTAAATTCCAGTTTATACTCGTTATAGCGTTTAATAGCTTCCTCGTCGGTAATCGTGTCCTCTTGTGTCCCAAGGAATGCTTTGAACGTCATCATCGGCGGTTGGGTTTCGACATTGGAATTGCTGAAGTTGCCAGCCACCTCGCGGCTACGCAGAATAGAAAACAGCACTACAGACGGTTAAAAAACTACGCGACGTGACGAGCACTACCTCAAACGGGCCAACAATCTTGGAGTGAATCTACTCCTCTTTTGCATGGTTACAACGCAACCTCTTTTTTTCATGATAACACTGTTTGTAAACTCAAAACAAAATCACAGAAGAAAAGAAGATCACCACAGAAATGACATAAGAAATACAAACCTGCTACTGTTACCATGGTTTCCATAGTGATGATTGCCATGATGGGGTGGCGGATAATGGTCCGGTCCCCACGAAGCTGCACCGCCTCCTCCACCGCCGTAATAATCGTGCCCGTATCTTGGTCGATCGTCCCAATCGGTCCTCATTCGTTTCATCGGAGGTGCCATCTCTTGCGATCTGGCTGGACTGTATCTGTCGCGTCCACCACCTCCGCCACCGCGATATTCCCTGTAGTCTGGACGTTGTCTAGGACGACTGGACCACTCTCTGAAATAATTCCTATCGTTACAGATATAATAGTCGGTGTAATGAAAGTTGTCTTATCGCTATACAAATGCAAAACTTCTCGCTACGGGAAGAAGCCATAAAAAAATATATATTCGATAGTTACCTGTCCACCCAGTCATCTCTTCGTCTGTCGTCTCTACGACCTTCTCTGGAATAGGATTCTGTCCTCTCCCCTCTAAATTTGTCTCTTCTCTTTCTGTCGTACTCGTCGTCGGAGTCGCCCATTACGTAGAACTATAAAAACATAAAATTCGAAATGTACGACGCATAAAAATGTGCTTTGAACGTTTTCAGTCGTCGACCAGCTACTGTTCTCGAACCGTTCTGTGCCAGGAAGGGGTTAAGTAGGCAATTGGAACATATGTATTTTCTACCGTGCCACTTGCTCGTATTTCCGATTAATCTTCATCGAAACTGCAGTTCGACGAGCGGTACGTGTCTATGAAAATATTTGTTACGGAGCAACCCGATTAATAATAATTTCTCGAACGAGGTATTCGAATAACGCGCGAATATCATTTGCAAAACATCCGTGCTGTTTGCGTTTCATGTGCTCGGGGGGAAACGTAATAATGCTGAAACAGGCACCGTACGTGCTAAGCATTTTGATAAAACATACTGGAAAATAATTGAATAGACTCACCTAGTTCAGGTACACTGTTAAACGATATTAAAATTCCACCGTGGAGGATTTTTGCCACCCGTTACCGTGCGTCACCAAAGTACTTCTCTCGAGAGGTGCGGCGTCCAGAGATGCCAGACGGAGCCCCGGGTGCACCGGGAACACCTCATTCCACTTTCTCACACTATGACAGATCACGCGTACGTGAGCTCGTGGAGTTACGGACAGTCGACAAAGGCAAACCGACGCATGCCCTCTTTCTCGATTCTCCGAAGCTGTCCGAAGTAATTCTTAACAACTATAAAACAAGAGGTATAATCATTATTATCCATAGTCAAAGTCTAACCGGACTTTGAAATGAGAACATAAAACTTAAATGTAAAGTTTCATTTAAATTCATTCGGCTATTTATATTCAATTAATAATATAAAAATTTCTTTTCTTTTCCAATAATTAAAATACGATCAGTCCTAAAACGTGAATTTCATAATAACTCGGGATTCCGAATCGTATATCGTGTGCCGTTGGCGGGAAGTCGGATTTCAGTTGTTCAAGAGCGAGAGGGTAAATGTGAGCCTTTCTCTCTCGATTCCCACGAGACTGCCCGAAATCACTTCGGGCAGCTTCGGAGAATCGAGAAAGAGGGCATGCGCAGTTTGCCTTTGTCGACTCACCGAAACTTTACGAGCTCACGTACGCGTGATCCTAGCATAGTGTGAGAAAGTGTTTTCGGTGCACTTCTGGCATCTCTGGAACCGTCGTGAAGTTCACGGATGAACTCGTGTTTCAAATATGGGCAATTTTACGAACTTCGACATGTTCACCACGAATTCTTCACGAGTGACAAGGGATCCCGGTTTTAGTGAATTATTGCGTTCGGCGGAACAATTGTCCGCTGCCGTAGAAGGAAACGAAGAACTTCCTCAAGTTCAGAGAAACCTTCGTCAAATCTTAGAAGCATCTAACGAACTTTGGTCTCGTGTCACACAAACCGGCACTCAAGATAATCAGGTTCAAGCGTAAGTAAAATTGCAAATTTACGGTCATAAAATATTAAGTAGTTTATGTACATTTCTTTTAAAATATATATATATATCTATAATGAACAATTTACTTAGTCGTCCATATTCATATTCGAGGCATAACGTAACCTACACGTTCTACAAATTTCTGGCGCCAAAATTGTTCTCGCTCGGTTGACAAAATTTTCGACGATGATCAGAACCGTTTATTTCGGTCCATGATTCAGCAGTTCATTTTGTAATCATGGAATTGCTTTATTTCGTTCAGCAGTTTATTTTACTGGTCCAATATCGATTTTAATATAGTTTAGAGTTAAGGAAGATAATGCGATATAATTTCAGGCATCTCTTGCTTGGGTCACGTGGTGTTGATCTGCCACAAATATCACAGAAGTTAAGTTCGCTTAGCGCAAGACGCACGTTCGAACCTTTAGATCCAATCGCAGATACAGATATAGTTAGTTACCTCAGAAATGAAAAGGAAAATGCTATCTTATCGATCATCGAGCAAGTTCATAAAGATGTAAACATTTTTCTATTGGTTCTTTATGTAATCGTTCGACATATTGTGTATTAAGTTTATGACGATATGTTTTTAGACTTTTGAACTTACTAGAGTTCAACAAATGGAACATATGTTGGGGGAGTGGAAGCAAATGCGTTATGAAATAATAAACGGTATGACGGGTCCTTCCGGCGACCTAGTGAATTTAAGCGGAACTCCTCAGCGAACCAAATTAGCCGGTTCGATGATCAGTGGTTTGTCCAGCGTGGAAGTAGCGTACGCCAAAGAGTTACAAAATTACAACAAACATATACGCGAACGTATGACCAAGCCGAGTCTGTTCGATGCATTTTGTAAAGCTGCCGAGTCGTTTAACGATAAGAAAATTGTAGATATGTGGCAAATGGTCCAGTATATGGTAGACATTCCACCGATTCCTAAAAAGGATCAAATTAAATCCAGAAGTACTCCCATAGTTGAGAAAAAAATTATATTACAAGCTAGAAAATATTTGGAAAATAGATACAGAGATTTCATGACTTCCGTTATTAGCGAAAACTTGGCAATGGCGAAGAGGGGTGGCATTCCAGGCACCGTGCCATTAGTTAAAAGTTTTGTAAGCATTAAAGTACAAAACGTTAGGGATCTAGAAGATACTGTAGTTGAGAATAAACCACTGTGGCCTTTGGTCTATTATTGTATGAGACTCGGTGATTACAAAGCAGCGTTGACGTGTCTCAATGAATGCAATACAGAATTTCCAGAGTTCAAAGCTGCGTTAGAAGGAGCTTGCAACGACCCTGACCGACATCCTAACAGTTACGCGGAATCGAATCTGAAATTGCAATACAGGAAACACGTCAGGTCGGTCACAGATCCGTACAAAAGAGTAGCATATTGCGCGTTGGTTCCCTGCGAACCGGACGATTTACATTCGGATATAATTAGTACGGCCGACGATTATTTATGGCTGAAATTGTGTCAAGTTAGAGATCAACCAGATTCGGAAAACAAATTGACGTTAGATTATTTGCAAACTACGATATCGGAGATATATGGTAACGAATTAATTTAATTATGTTTACGACGAACGATCGGAATTAAAATGATTGATTAGATAAATATTGCAGGGGAATCTTATTATCATGCGCATGAACAACCGTTTGTGTACTTTTCGATGCTATTCTTAACTGGTCAGTTCGAAGCAGCGATTGAATTTTTGGCAAGAGGCGCGGGAGCGAAGCATTTGCCGCATGCGGTGCATTTAGCGGCCGCCATGCACGAGCATAACTTCCTAGGAGTCAGTCAAAGTGTATTAGCGCCATTGCTGAGCGTCGATCCAGCTGATAAACCACCTGCCAAACGATTAAATTTCGCTAGATTGATATTGCTGTATGTCAGGAGGTTCGATACCACTGACCCGAAAGAATGCGTGAATTATTTATTCTTATTAAGGTTCGTACGAGGAAATCGTTAGTCCCATAGATTTAGAATTTTATTACATCACTTTATGCGTTTAGGAGTATGAAAGATCCTCACGATCGTAACATGTTCGCCGTGTCAGCCGCGGAAATGGTAGTAGAAGCCTCACCGGCAAATAAAATTCAATTAGTTGGAAAGATAGACAAGAATCATTGGGGTCCAGGAATTCTGGACCAATTTTTACTTAACAAGGAAGACGTGGTAAACATCAGCGCGGATACATTGTACAGGAAAGGTCTTTTAGAAGACTCTGTAACGATGTACGATCTCGTTGGTAATTACGAGAAGGTTCTTAATCTAATGTGCACCCTTCTGGCGCAAGTCGTTAGTCAAAAAGTTTCACCGGGGTCGTTGAGATCGCGACTGCAAGTCACTGCTACCCAACTAAGCACAAGGTAATATTGAAATCTTTCCGGAAGTTTATTTAATCATTGAAACAACATCCAGCTTCGTTGCATAAACATTTGGTTTCAGGTATGTAGGTAACCAGATACACGCACCGTCCAAATTAATGTCTGCGTTTCAAACTTTGAGACATTTGATGGTGTTTTTTGATCAGTTTCATAACGAACAATATCAGAGTGCTCTTAGGGTAAGAGATAATACGAAACAAGCGCCGCGTATATTTGTTAATATTAACTTTCTTGCGATCTCGTTTCAGACTATTGCCGAATCAAAGTTGTTGCCATTGCATATAAAAGAAGTCGACGAGAGGGTGAATGCATTGCGTCGCGTGTCGCCCGAAGTAGCTGGTACGTTAGCGGACGTCCTTCTGGCGACAATGACGATACTTTATCGTCAATATCAAAAGTTACGGTCGACGGAACCGGGCGACGAAGAAGCAAGGAAGCAACAATTACTCGATCTTCGGGAACAGGCGCGCGCATTAACGAGTTTCGCGGGTACACTCCCGTACCGTATGCCAAACGAAACGAACAGTAAACTCGTACAAATGGAGATCCTTATGTGTTGAATATCGGATTCGTAATTATTTCTCATCGACAACGAGACCGGTCAGCGTACTATTTCACGAATGTTCAGAGTATCATCGACGCAGTGTATATATTTTTTGTACTTCCGTAACTTAAACGCGAATGAAACTGTAAACATAATAAACGTATCGTCTTCTAAGAATCATCGTTGAATATTACGAACATAAATATCAAATGTAATATAATTTATTTCTCCGATATATCCAGAAACATGCTTTCATCTAGGAAACCCGTTGTTCTTCATATTTTACGACTTAAGACACGTGACAAATATTCCAGAGCTGAGATCTTGAACCCTTCCTTCCTTCACCTAAAACAGTCTCGCTATTAACATCGATCTTTGTTTCACGACGAGATATTAATAATACATACAGCTCTGTAATCGAGGAACATTTCTTTAAAGGCTACAAAGTCTGTGAACGTTGATAATACTTCGAAAACTTCACCTTCCAATTCACTTCGTCTGTTACTGTATCGTTTGATAATATTTAAGCATAAAGAACATTAATTGATGTTTACGTGTTTTACAGACAGGTACAAAATCTCGGTGCTTACCTTAAAATTTGTAAGAATGTGTTTATATTGAAATGTGGTATGACTTTTTGTAAATAGTTAACGATATAATCTTCCACCGCTTTGTTCTATGAAATAGTAAAATATTAGTATTCCTGTAAGTGTGGATAATGGAATGATGTTCCAGTACTCACATATTTGTTGAATATATCTGTGTAAATTAATTTATTTTCTTCCACGGGTTCGAAAATGTTCCAATAATCTTCCAAAAATTTTTTTTGAATGATATTGAACTCGTCTTCTGGAAATGTACAAATTTACTTTAGTGATGGAATTTTGTTAACGATATTTCTCATATATACCTAAAAGAATGTCTTCTATATGACCAATAATATCGTCGAAATGGCTGTCCTCCGCGCTTTTAGAACTCTGTTCCGTATCGGCGTCCGCGTTTATTAAAAAACAATTCCCTGCTGATCGATAACGACACGTTTGTTAAAAAAAATATATCGATATCAATGAATCAATGCGTAAAAAAGTTTGCGTTGTTTAAAATACAAATGTGTGGCTAATTGTTTGTAACAATGACATAAACAAACCTATTATTTCGTCGGACATACTTAAATCCGATTATGAAAATAAGGCACTGTTTATTTTGACGACAAAGCAATGATATTATTTGTCAGAAATTGTGCATATCGATAGGTCAATAACAGTTAGAAACGATAATCGAATTGACATAACCAATCACCGTCGACGACGGTAGTGTTTCAAATGTTTAACGACAGTTTCGTTTGCCGTACGGTAGAAAATTAATTTAACAATGTTTTCTCATGAATTGTTTCCGTTTCACGATCACATTTTGTGAAACAATATGCATTTGATGGTATAGTTAACAAAATGTATAGTTTCGACTGATGTTTGGATTGGTTTCGATCAGAAACATTGTGCAATTTTGGATTCATCGTTAGCGAGTCTTTGGATTACAAATATTCCAGTTTTATGCTCTTAGAAAGATTTTGACCCGCCTCTTTTGCGTGCCCCTTTTTTGAAGAAGGAATTTGCGATCGAAAGGTAAGCATTTACGTATGCGATCAGTATGTCCCTTTTTTTAGTGTTCTATGAATTACATTTATTACTTTATATGCAGGTCGCATGCATCAATGGAGATATATACTTTTAACAAGAGCCTTCAAGAGAGGTTGGTTGAATTGACCGAGATATTATCCAGCAGAGGTGAAATCGTACCTGCTTCTCAAATTAAGGCGGAATGGTCGTATCATGTAGAGCTCGTAATAGAACCCGTAGGTTGGCAGGCATTATGGAAAATACCACGTTTAGTTTGCGAAGATTTTCAAATCCATTATCCCACCATAGTGGTGGTAGAAGTCAAGCAAGTAGATTTTACCGATTTGTCCGCGTTGGTAAAAATTGTTGCTGTTCAAGACGAAATCCATTTACCCGAAAAGTACGATGTACAACTGGTAGAACTTTATCCGACTCATAATCAAGAGAACAACGCCTTGGACGTGGTGGGCACTGCGAATTGCATCGACCAGTTGCGATTCTTTTATAGCTATTTGTGGATGCCGTGGGACATAGACGACGACGATAATACAGATTGGGTGTTTCTACATTTAGAAACGAGAATCAGATTGTTCTTCGATATGAAGAGAAGCGTAGTAAGCAAAGAAACTAGTGACATTATTAGAAGTTTGGTAAGAGAAGGACGTGAGGTCCAAGAGAAGATATCAAAGTTGGAGGATACTATCTCCGAAGAAGGAGAATCGAACGAAGTCGACGGGGGAACTGCGTGCCAGCTGATGAAACTTCACTTTCGGCTGCAGCAGATTAAGAGGGAGGTGGAAGTTCTTGAGAATCCTGCTATGAGAGAAATACTCGTAAAAAATCGAAACTCGTCCTTAAATAATGATAAAATAGAAAGACAGAAGAGCAAAGATAAATGTATAGAAGGGCATTTCGTTTGGCTCGGTGGTACTTTGGAAGAAATGAAGGAAGTTATAAGTAAAGTTCAAGCTTCTTTGCCCGCAGAGTTATGCTTCAAGTATGTCTATCAAATTTTATGAACGTTATATTGATTAATTATTGATTAAAATGTTTCGTATGTAGGATATCTGGGTCGTTGCAAGACACTCTGCACGCCAGCGATGCTGGAGACGTCATTGTAGTTGGAGAGGGTGATCATCCAATAAAAAGTGCTGGTAATTTGGAAGAAGGTGGTACAATTATGGGAGTCCACAACGTTGAACGCACTATTCTCTCTGTGAAAGATACTGAAACGGCGCCATCGTTGCTTGATTTTTCCGGTAGCGAAGTAAGTCATTTTTTTTTTAAATTTCTAAATTAGGGAATAATTCTGCTCGGATCTTTTCAAATTAATTTTTTATAGGTTTTATTAGATAGCATTACCGTGGATATGGGTGATCTTAGAGCCGCTGTAATTGTTAGGGCTGGGACTACAAAAATAGTTAATTGTAAAATATGTGCCACGAATAAGAGCACAGTTAAATTAGGAGTCGTTGTTTTACCTGACGCGAAACTAATAATAGAAAATACGGTTTTCGACGGTCTTGGAACTGCCTTAGTTATTTTTAACAATGGAGAAATTCTTACGAATAACTGTAGTTTTAAGAATTGTGCGGAAGGTATACAGGTATGTTATCTATTTTTACGCTGTTACATGTGTGCAAGCAGGGATTTGATAATGCTGTAATATATGGTTTATTTAGCTTCACGATAACGCAAGATTGACAGTGAGGAATTGTTTCCTGGGACATTTTAAGGAATATGCTATACGATTGGAAACAAAAAAATATTTACACGGCTCGGAGAGCATATGCGGCGGCCCAGAATTATTAGAAAATATATCCGAAATTTCGTTGAACGATTGTAAATTTGAGGCCAATGGCAAAGGACATGTTATATTAAAAGCTAGGACGCAGTTTGCTCTGATGACGAAACAAGATGGAACCACGAACATGGAGCCTTGAAGTAATTTAATTGGTTAGAAACGTTACGAATTCTCTATTTTTATTATGAAAGAGCATGTAACTATATCTTGTTGAAATATAAAAATTTTGTACTTTTCTTTACATGGAAACCTGTAGAGTTCACACTAAACAGATTCTACGTAAAAGTGTAGGATTTTCATAATTTTCCCTAATATAAAGAAAGATTAAAATTAAAAACTAATTTTTATGTATGATCGTGATCCTTTCCAGTATGCGACAATCGAATCAAAAGCGCGGGAATTTCTTCGTAGTTCTTTTTCGTCGATGAGCTCGCCACCGACAGATGGCAGCATTGTTCAGAATCGTAGGCTGTTGTTAGTACTACACGTTCCGTAATTTAAAAGCGTTGCTTTCGATCCTAAATATAACGTGTTTATTAGATGTGTTTATCGTACGCGCGAAAATAATGCCACAGATCTGAAAGGCGTATTATGTAAGTTTTTGATCGCGTATTTGTTCTCTGTCATATTTGCCCGATCTCCCGCTGACAATCGAAGCTTGGCTTCCTAACCTTACCACGTTCCCCGAATATTTAACAAATTTTTCTGTCAGTAATATCGGTATTTGACATTTGATTATCAGTTCGATCCAACGGTTCCGTTCATAGTTTAAACGTAACATTTTTTGGAAAGATGTTACGTTCGAATTTGTTACGAAATGCAAGCCGGGAAACCTAACCTATGAACGCGTTAATATTTGGAGTTGTCGCATATGCCTTCATCTGTGTGTTAATTTGCGAATGCATATGTTGGTTTCTATACATATACAGGGCGAGTGACGTAATTGGGACGAGTTGTATTTCGAATTTGGTAACAGGAAAAAGTTAAATGGTAATATATATTTTTCTATGACTTTGGTCTAATATGAAGGTATCAGGATGTATTTATATGCTGTTGACGCGTGATATTTTTGAAACAAAACAGACTTTATCGTATTACTCAACTTTTCCCCATCTTTTACCAAATTCGAGATGTAACCTGTCCCAGTTGCGTGATTTAGCTTGCATATAGAAAGAGATAATACCGCACGTGTACAGTGTATCGCCGTGACGTAAACGATAATTCGAACCATACCGTTCTCATCGCCGTATTTGTTTAAGACCGTACCTCGTTCGCGTCTATAAATGAAGCCATAAGTATCTGGCCATGTGGCCATATCACGTGCACGCGGATGAATGAAGTATCGTGATTTAAAGGCTCGCACTTTCGATGATGAATGGAAATTCTTCGTCAGCGATAACGTTTATCAATTTTCCGGCTGTAACAAGATCGTTAACCTTTCGTATGGAACCGTGTTAGGTTAGAATTAGAGGTCGTCCTTGAAATTGATAGAAGTTAATGATAAACTGTATTTTGGGAACCCTTTGCATAGACAGTGATATTTAATCTAATTAAGACGGAATGAACGTGGAACTAATGGAAACGTGTTATTTGTCATTACAGAATATAATCGTTAAGAATATCCATCCAGTTCGATATTATTCGAGATACACGGCCTGCATAAATTTCCAGTATGGTGGAGACGACCTCGCCGAAACAATCTGCTGATCGACAGACGCAATTTGGTAACGCTCGTCAATTACAGCTGTCGGACTGCATCTTCGTCTTCAAGGACACGCAATCGGACTACGAGGAGCCGCCATCGGACGTCGAAGAGGTGAGTCCATGAATTTATTTGCGTTCGGGTGCAAGTTACCATTTAACCCCCCCGGATACGGGATGTACCAAGGGTGTCAAAACGATTTCTTTTGCTATCTGTTAGATTATTTAACCTCTGCAATCGAAAATAATTTTTTTAGAACGGTTTGAAAAATATTTTTTTCGCCGAAAAATTTCAGCTCTTATTCAAATTTTTTTCTCGAAAATGGGTAGGATTTCGGGGTTATGTGTATTCACCAAAAATGATTGTAATTGACCCTCTTAGCTAAAAATAATTTTTTCAGAACGGTTTGAAATTTTTTAATTTTGTCGAAAAATGTCGCAACTATTCGAATTTTTTTCTCGAAAATGGGTAGGATTTTGGGGTTATGTCTATTCACCAAAAATGATTGTAATTGACCCCCACAACTAAATATAATTTTTTCAGAACGGTTTGAAATTCTTTAATTTTGTCGAAAAATGTCGCCCATATCCGAATTTTTTTCTCGGAAATGGGTAGGATTTCGGGGGTATGTGTATTCACAAAAAATGATTGTAATTGACCCTGTTAGCTAAAAATAATTTTTTCAGAACGGTTTGAAATTTTTTAATTTTGTCGAAAAATGTCGCCCATATCCGAATTTTTTTCTCGAAAATGCATAGGATTTTGGGGTTATGTCTATTCACCAAAAATGATTGTAATTGACCCTGTTAGCTAAAAATAATTTTTTCAGAACGGTTTGAAATTCTTTAACTTTGTCGAAAAATGTCGCCCATATCCGAATTTTTTTCTCGGAAATGGGTAGGATTTCGGGGGTATGTGTATTCACAAAAAATGATTGTAATTGACCCTGTTAGCTAAAAATAATTTTTTCAGAACGGTTTGAAATTTTTTAATTTTGTCGAAAAATGTCGCCTACATCTGAATTTTTTTCTCGAAAGTGGGTAAGATTTCGGGGTTATGCCTATTCACCAAAAATGATTGTAATTGACCTTCACAGCTAAAAATAATGTTTCAGAGTGATTTGAAATTTTTTGATTTAATTGTTTAATAATCTTTTAACGAAGCCTCATTCGTCTAAATCAACGAATTAGTATTCTTGATTTTCGTCTTATTTTAACCTCTAAAGGTTGCGTTAAATTAAAATAATATCTTTATGTAGAATTAAAAAAAAATATTTGTTTTTAATAAATTTTTGAAACGTAACTCCCCTTTTTATACTGGTTCTGGATCTCGACGCTTAAACAAACGAGTAAAAAAAATTTGAATTAATTTGTTATGCGCGTGAACGTGTCGACGTTGGATCGAAAAGTTAACGTTTAAATTAATCAAATCCCTTTGGTACATTCCCACGGGGCAACTTCACTCGACCTGTTACTTTCACCGTACAGCGAAAACCACGTTCTCCTCTCGTAGGAACGTTAAAAATTACATCAGACGCGATAGAAAGGGAGAGGTTCCGCGATGGCACCTTGCAAATCTCTTTATTGCGTTCGATCGATGAAAATGAAAACCACGAAAGCGAGACACGCTCGGAATAAAACATTCCAACAAAACGATCGTCTCGTTTTTATTAGTTATCCAGTGTTCGAATAAAAATTTCGCCCGTCCCTGTCGCGTGTCGCGCGTCGCTCGACACGCTCGAAAATTTGTTACTCGTGGAAACGGTCCCCGAGCAGAACGTATTAAGCGTAAAAAAAAAACCCCCGTAACCGTGACGTTAATGAGCTACGTTGATTTAGGGTTCTTCCGAGCTATAAAAAACACGCCTCCATCATTCTTTTCTCGCCTACTCGCCGCCCGGTTAAAGATCGCCCGAAACGCGGCGGATGAAGGAAGGGAAAAAAAAGAAAAGAAAGATGGAGAAAAAAAGAGGGACGAGCCTCATAATGCATCCGCCGACGCTTTTGACCCGCGCGGAGCCCCGGAGTTATTTGCGGTCGTGCGTCTCTTTCGGAATGACTGATCGCCCTCTTGTCGCGCGTTCGTTCACTCTCCCCCCCCACTCCCCGCCCCCAACCTCCGTCGTCCGTTCTTGTTTCCCCCATTCTTGTTCGCCTCGTCCCGTCGCGCGCGCGATTTCACTCGTTGCTCCGCCCCCCCGCCTCCCCTCCACAGCCTTCTAATTTCGATTGTGCGATTGTAATTCCTCCGCTTAAAGATATCCCGCTGCTGCTTACGTTTCCTTAGCTCGATTTGGCTACAGTAACGCACGGTTAGCTTTCACCAAAAATTGCACGGTTTATTTTCCACGATTTTTTTCCCCCCTCCCACAATCCTGTTTAGCGATATTTTATCCAATGTTCGTTTTAATCCTGATCTTTTAACACTCGTAATTTTAATTGTTCTTGGCTTTCTCTTCGTCTCCATTTACGGTGAACTTTATCTTAGTTTGGCGTTTGTCTTCCTTAAACGACTTTGATTCGAGCGGTTTTATACAGGTTGCTTTGCGAACTGCGATCTTTCTTCCATGGTTTTTCCTCTCTTTGTTCGCGTGTTTTCGTTTCCCGGGTTCATTCAGCGCTACATTTACGCGCCCCTTCCCCCCACCATCGCGACTTAATCTCTCGTCTACGGTTCTTTATTTATTTATTGCCCCCCCGGCTGGCCGGTACGTGCCGTTTTAATTCATCCGGTCCTCTCCCGTTCCGACGTTCTTTCATTCAACGTGGGTTCATTCAGGGTCTCCGCGCTGCTTCGACGCGGCCTCTGATCAGGATTTATACAGGGTGTTCGGGCCACCACTGGGAAAAATTTTAATGGGAGATTCTGGAGGCCAAAATAAGACGAAAATCAAGAACACCAATTTTTTGATGGGGACTTTGTTAAAAAGTTATTAACGTTCAAAGTTCCGCCCGTCCTGAATTTTTTTCTCGAAAATGCGCAGGATTTCGGGGTTATGTCTATTCACCAAAAATTATTGTAATTGACCCCTGCAACCGAAAATAATTTTTCCAAAACGATTTGAAATTTTTTTTTTCCGTCGACAAATTTCACACATTCTCCAATTTTTTTCTAGAAAGTGGGTAGAATTTTGGGGGTATGCCTATTCACCAAAAGTGATTGTAATTGACCCCCGCAAACGAAAATATTTTTTTCAGAACGATTTGAAATTTTTTTTTTCGTTGAAAGATGTTTTATTTGGAATTTTTTTCTCGAAAGTGCGTAGGAATTCGGGGGTATGTGTATTCACAAAAAATAGTTGTATTTAACTCCAGAACCTGGAAATAATTTTTTTAGAACGATTTGAAAAATTTGTTTTTCTTCCAAAAATTTCAGCACCTACCTTATTTTTTTTCTCGAAAATGGATAGGATTTCGCAAGTATATGTACTCACCAAA